ACAAATAAATTATCTTTAAATATTTTTTTAAATAATGATTATTTGTTATTCCTTGTTGCTGTGCAATCAAGCACAACGAAAAATTCGGCGCAAACATTGAGTAGAAGTTCTCACGTATTACTGACTATGTTTTTTGCTTACGTCTTTTTCAGATAACAAGGTGTATCTAATGGCGAAATTACAGACCTTTGATTTGATTTCGACTAAGGAAAAGCATCCATGCCCGAAGTGCAATCGCATCTTCGAGAAGAAAAGCAGCCTGAGTAGACATCTGACGTACATGTGTGGAAAAAGACCACAATTTAAATGCCCCTACTGTGAATATTGCTGCAACATGCGCTGTAATGTTTACAGACACGTGCGTTACATTCACAAGAAAAATGAAGTGTATGCGCTGGACATCATCAAAAATTGTGTTACGACACCATATTGATTATTTTATGCATTATTGACGAACTACACATTAACAGATCTCTTTGCAAACTTTAAATTAAAGAAGACTGTAAAAATATGTTACGCTTATTTCATATATCTGATATGATATTCATATATCTAATAAAGTCGTGACGCTAAATACGACTTTATAGAAATATTTTTAGAGCTCAAATACTTTAAAAGGATATAATAATTGACTCTGTAATCACATTGTAATTTATTTTTTTTTAAATTTATTTTTATTATGACGCAGACAATAGAAAATACAACTGGATATGATGGATTATTAAATTGAAATTTTTGTTAATAGTACCTAATTCGATAGATTGTTAATGATTGAATTGAATTTTTGCCGCATGTTTAATATACTGTAATACGTAATTATTTTAATAATCGTTTAAATTTAATTTTAAACCATAAACTTAGAAAAAGTTTGTCTAAGTTCCTCGATTTAGTTTTAATTTTAACTGTCATTTTAATAGAGATAATGTTAATTAACTTATTTTGTGATTATACTTTTTGCGACCATTTGTGATGTTATTTTCTTTTACTGTTTTCATTTGTAATTTTATCATGTATAATACAAAGTTTCTTATCACTTCCAAAATGCGAAGTAAATTATATTTAAGATATATTTTAGGATATATTATTAGGTGTTTTAATACGAATTAAACCTATAATATTTCTATTGAAACACCATAAGTGTTAAATACTGTATACGTAATAAATTTGTCATTGTCTTCACAATAACTCTTTAAACGGATAAGCTTTAGTCCTTATTTTTTTTTATTTTGAAATTGAATAAATTACTCTCATGAATTGTATTGCTTAATATTACATTTATGATATTAATATTACATTTATGATATTCTAAAAATGTTACAGGAGCATGAGACGAAGAGAAATCATATTATTAGTTATTATCTATTTATCTATGTAACATTTATTTTATTTTATTTTAACATTTATAATAATTTTATTTTATCCTTTCTGAAAAACCGCATGTCGAAAACCGCATGTCGAAAACTGCATGTCGAAATGATACATATACTATTCCATATCATTTAACGTTTTTGATCCCAATTGTTGATGTCCTATATTGATTAACGTTTCATTTTTCCTTCTTATGTTTAGAGCACATGAATATCTCATCACAAACATTCAAGATTATTGAACCGTATCACCGTTGTCCGAAATGCTATTGCAGTTTCAAAGTGAAGAGAAGCTTCACTCAACTACCTTTTTGTACACATGCGGGAAGAATCCGCGCTTTGAATGTCCGTACGAGTTGTAGCTACCGATCCAAACACTGCAGCAACATTTACACATTCGTACTTATCATGAGAGATATGAAGCTGTGATTAAACGTTAATTATATTGACAAACTCTAAAAGCGATTTTTTCAACGTAAATATATTTTGTGAAAATAGCTTTTGTTATCTAATAATTCCTGTAAATATGCGAATATTAAGATTGATTGTAAGGAAGAGATGACTGAGGAGATTTTGAGGAGTTTCCTTCCTGATATTTGATAGAAATATTGTAGATAAGAAATTTGTTTAAGTATTGTTGAAGATGATTCCTTATAAAGATTCATGCCAACACTATGTAAAGCATTTTTCTTTCTTAAAGTATTGGATATATATTCAACAACAAAAAACTTTATTTTTTCTTAAGAGTAAATTTAAATTTGGTAAAAATTTGGTAAATTTTTCCCATTGGTTGCATTGAAGTCTTTAATTTTAGATTTCGAATCTTTGTTACATTTTTATGAGTATTATTTTCTATAAGACGGGATACCGGAGATAATTTACAATATTTTACAATTTGCCTTTGTCAAAGAAAATTTTCTTTTTTTTTTGATTGTATGATGTATAGCAAATGTATTATTTCAATGGCATAATAAATTTTTGCAAAAATTATAAAATGTAAAGTATAAAGTAAAAATTATAAAGTATACGATCCTTTAAAATGTAAATAATTTTTCGCGAAATGATAACAAAGGTATTAACAAACATGATTTTTTTACATTAAAAAAAATATATATATATTATCAAAGAAGTTATAAATTTTTAATAATGTATTATTTATTGTCAATTTATAACTTCTTTTTTATTGCATTATAGAATTATCAAATTTATAATTATATTTTTTATTAAAAATTTGTGCATTTGTCTTTCATTGCAAGCATCATTTTTTAAAATAATAATTAATAAACGATATTTTCAATGTTCACCTTCATCCCAATTATTTATCTCTTATTGCAAACATTTTTAAAAATAAATAATTTTAATATAATAACAATATATAAGTATTATTATTATTTAAAAACACTCTAAACTTTATTATTTTTTTGTAAGAATTCTCTTTTTATATATTGTTTTTATTTACAGCGATTTTAAAAGTATCATCAAGAGAATTTTGCTTCACTAGTCGATATAAGATGAGTTTTTAAATTCATCAATTGATCAATTGCATTATGCGCAAATGCAACTTTGCTTCGTAAAAATTGCATTTGCGCATAATACGATTGATTAATCGATGAATTAAAAACCTATAATAATATATCGGGTATTCACTTTTCGTTTGTTAAATGTTATTTTATCTAATTTTGCACATACACACAAGCTTTACTTTCTCATGAATCTGGGCTTACTTTCTCATGAATCTCATGAAGCTGTTCGTATGAATTAATATTAAAGCCAAAATGCGTGTTTGCACGCGATCGTTTCGCAGCTTTCAATAACAGGCGGAAATATCTCTATGTTCACAGATATGGTTCATGTCTCGGGTTTCTACAGGAGAAAAAGGCAGAATCACGTTACCAATTGTTATGCAAAACACCAGTGTCCTAACTGTCCTTCCATCTTTGTGTGGAAATGTACCCTGAGGAGGCATCTGCGCAATGAGTGTGGTAGAGAACCACGTTTTAAGTGTCCCTATTGCGATTACCGTGGTAAATGGAAGGCTAATATTACTAGACATATTAAAAGAGTACACAAGAATTGCTACAATTATGTAGTGGTTACTAACTAATAATAAAATTTTCAATCAATTTTGATCTTTCTTCGATGCATCCTTAAAGTGTGCTTTTTTAGTAAAACTATCGAACAATGTATTTGTGATAATTATATTAGAATGATTTTTTTTGAAACACAAATTAATATTTAAAAAATTTAATATTATTTCAATTTTTGAGTTACAATTGTTTGTGAAAAAAATTTTTTTGTTTCTAAATTATGTTAGATGCAAAGATAATGCGTGGAAAGTATACAAGAAATTTCTTTTTTCTTTACGATTTTGCTATTTCATTCTGTCAAGAATCAATACAAGACAAATTTAAAAAAATGAAATGAGATTTTATTGTAATACTGTTCTAAAAGAATTTTTTTATACTTAAGAAATATGTAAAAATAAAAAGATGAAATACATTTCTAAAAATACTTTTCTAAAAAAGATATTTCTTTACATTAGAGAACATCTCTTCGGTGA